AATTCAGTACTCGGTGCCAAATTTCGTCCAAATCGAAAGATATACAGAGACTTTGGTGCCCCAATCACCTTAAATCGGACGAAAATATATATGGGAGCTATATCTAAATCTGAACCGATTTTTCCCAATTTCAATAGGGTTCGTCCTTGGGCCAAATAAGTGACTTGTGCCAAATTTCATCCAAATCGGATCATAAATGCGACCTGTACTTTGTTTACAATTTAACATCTACAGACGGACGGACGGATGGACGGACATGCATAAATCGACTCAGAAAGTGATTCTATGCATATTCTCAAAAGGAACCATGTGTCTATCTCGTTTCCTTTTGCCTGTTACAAACATATGCACAAAGACATAATACCCTCTACCACAGTGTGGTGAAGGGTATAATAACATTGATAAATGTTTGCCATTATAATTAGTTTTATTTTTATACTCTGTGTGTTTACAAACGATATGACAGCTGATTTCGATTGTTTGTGTGACGTAGTCACCTCTACAATTGTAAAATTATCAATTGGAATGAGCAAAGGAATATTTACATAAAACAAGTTTTATTGTCCATTCCATTATGTATGTACATTATCGAATAAAAAGGTGATGTATCAAAACAAAATCATCTATTTTTTTATTCGACCACCTGTCAAATTTTATCTATAAATATTTCTCATGGTTGACCATATTGTACATCGAATTCAAATAGAAATCACACACTTTGACAGTTAATCGAGTCTTCAGCTGCGATAAATGGACTACCTATTTATTAACTGTCCAAGTGCGTATTTTCTGCTTGCATTCGATGTGCAATGTTGTCAACCATGTGAAAAATTTGACAGAAGGTCGAGACAAAAACTCGATATTTTGTAACAATTGTTACTAAATATTGTCTGTTTACACAAAAATCCAGTATAAGAGAGTCAAGTGAGAGAGCAGTTTGCAGTTGAACAACAACAAAGTTGCTGGAGTTTACTGAAAGAATTTTATTCAGTAAGATTTTGCAACTCAGCCATTTTCTGATCAGCTGTTTTCTGACCAAACACAAAAATTATTTAAAACATTATTTTTAATTTGCAAAGTTCAATTTGAAGTTGATTACAGAAAATGGAAGAAAATTCGTAAGTAATGCAAAGTTTCATTAAATTAAATTCCTTATATATTTTTAGGCAAGTTCCAGATAGAGGGCAATGTATTGATGCAGGGAGCTTAAATGTTCCCGGGGAACATACCAGATCAATTTTTCTTTTATTATTCATTTTATTTTTAATATTAAATGCAATACAAATAATTGTGTTCGTCCTTTGTTGTTTATTTTGGCGTAAATCAAATGTTTTCTTGAATCAGCTGTTTATTTGCTAAATCTTACTAAATGTTGTCTGTTTACTTTTTCCAATATTATCGCAAAAGAGAGTAAGAAAGGCTTACTCTCTGAACTAGAACTTACTGAATAAATGCTACTGGAAAAGTAACCAGACACACCTATTATTGCATTATGAATTTTATGTATGGCGATGGTGGGAAAATTCTAATGACAATTTCAGATATTATGGAGGTCGCCCTTTGGGCACACACACACGCCAAGGGTTTTGGTGCTCTTCACTCGGAAACGTAAGATTCCTAGTTTCCGCTTGCCATCTATGGAAGGAGTGACCCTATCCCTTTCTGAAGATGCAAAATACATTGCTACAATCCTTGACCGCAAATTAACGTAGAATAGGAATGTTGAGGAACGCTCTAAGAAAGGACTGATAGCACTCTACTCTTGCAAGAACTACATAGGAAAGAGCTGTTGACTAAGACCAGAGATCATACTAGCCAGAGTATATGTGATGGTCGTTCTTTTCATTCTTACATATGGCTGCCTTGTATGGCAGTCATATGACAAAATTAAATTCAGTACAGCGATCGGCTTCAATCCTGACTACCGAAGCGCTAAGATGTATACCACAGGCAGACTTGAATGCGATCCTGATTCTTCAACCACTGATCATTCTGATTAAATTCCAAGCGGCCAAATTTGCCCTAAGGCCCCGAGAAACGGATGCATAGAAATCGTTGAACTATGGTCACGCTAGTATCCTCAACATAACGCGGGTCATGATTTCTTGAGGAGAAATACTCTCATTAGAGACTATGTTCCCTCTCATAGAGACTTTAATGACATCAAAGTAGAGTTTCATAGTATGGAATCTTGGACTAGTGGCTCCTTACCTCTCCCAGGTCTGTAATTTTTCACAGACGGGTTAAAGATGGGGAAAGGCACTGGTGCAGGCGTTATACAATTCATAAAAACTTAACAATCTTTGTAGCTTTTTTTAAACAGAAATCCTTACAATCACGAAAGCGGCCGAGATAGTAAAAACACTTACTGCCGACAATACGGGACCGATGACTATATATGTCGATAGTCAGGCGGCCCTCAAGGCTTTGGAGTCGTGTACTATAAACTCAAAAGCAGTTCTTGATTGCAAGTCCGCTCTGAATGATACCGGACAGATAGTTAACTTATGTTGGGTTCCAGGACATAGTGACATAGAAGGGATCGAGATAACCAACGAGCTTGGTCGAGGGGGCTAACAAACGTCAAATCTTCCGATTGAGAAATCTGTGCAACCACCAATTGGCTATTTCATTGGCAAATCCCAGGGATGGTCCGCGTGACGATTTTTTAGGTTTTCGACAGTAAAAAAGTGTAAACGTGGAAAAAGTCATATACCTGTATAAAATGTAATAAAAGTAGTAAACGTCGTTCATTTGAATATTTTCACCATGTACAGTTATTTTGAAGAATATACAATATATATTTCTCATCATGATAAAAAATTTTAACTTCTTTTTGAAAATAACAATGTCATTTACGTCACTGTTTCTGACGGACCATCTCTGGTAAATCCTTTTGTTCTACAGCGAGGTAGTCGGTAACAGATGGTCGAGAGAATCTGGTTGCAGAATCTAACTTCTTCGCTGTTGACACATAATAAGAGAGAGATAAAAATCATTGTGGGGATCACAACAGGTCACTGCAAAATTAGATCACTCACTTCGAAATGGGACTCCAGTGGAGAGAATTACTGTCGTCTATGTGAGGAAGAAGAAGAGCTAGAAACAATTGAACATATTCACTGTAGATATCCATCGCTGATTGGCAGAAGACATAAACAGTTTGGAAGATATGAACTTGATAATCTAGTCTTGTTCTCTAAAATAGACCCCAGCCAGATCCTAGGCTTTGTAAAAAATCTGACATTGCTAAAATAACCCTCTCTCTCTTCACCTCTCTCTTCTCTTCCTGTTCTCTTTTCAGGTTTAAAGGATGATCATAATGGACAATAGTCTCCGAGTGGACGGTTGTTACTTACAACCGTACATCCCTAACCTAACCTAAGGCTATTTGCACCAGCAACGGTGGAAAAACTAGGTAAATTTTTTCCTTAATATTTCGCGATCTACCGCAGTGTCTTTTCTAGAATTGGAAGAACAAGTAAAGACAGAAGACATGAAAATGCGAGAATCTAAATTTTAAAAGTCAAAATAACAAATGTTCTTAACTTGTATTGTTTAGAAAGGAATATTAAATGAACTAAGGGACACATCCTTAGAAACATATGTTGGAAATTGCCTTGAAGCGGTACTTCTAGACCATGCAGGATATAGCTTTTCTTCGTTTGGACACCATGCCCACGCATTAACAGCAATTATTATAATAAAAGGTAAGAATTTCTAAATTTGACATGGAATTACTGGTCATCACGTCTCATTCATTTTTTAATACAGAATGTACAAAGGCCAAATTTCCCAACGCGAGAATAACCGATTTTTTGCTGTCGTCAAAAAGTGGTTCCAATATGCAAAGGACTGGCAACGAAAAACTCAAAATAAAGGGTTAATATTTAATTTTATCAGACTGTAGTAAAGTACGTTTACATTTAACCGGATTTCGTTAACCCAGTGGGTTTCAATTGTCAATTCCTTTGCAGATACGTCAAATAAATCCTCATAAAGTAGGTTAACCCGGTAAAAAAGTTCTAATGTTCAAGGAGTTTAAAATCCTGCCAGTGTTAAACGGCATTTACATTAGAATTTTTTGCAGGGTAAACCTACTAGATTTTACTATTTTCTTCGATATCATAAAGGAAAATTCGTTATCGTAGTAAAAAGTAGTAGATTCTTGCACTACGGGAACAGACCATATATCGTCTTCGTGAAGCACATTTGGACTATTTCAAGATTTTAAAGAACATTTTCAAGTAAATTATCTTACAAAATTAAAAATTGTGTTGTTTTTTTATTTAAAGGCGAATCAATTAGTTTTCGCTTAGGCAGAAAAACTGACCTTAAACTTAAGTTTCCTCTTAGAATAGGTAATAGCCAAAGAATGTAACAAAAATTATTCAGTATAAAAATGTTTATATTATTTGAATATGAAAATTGGGTACGAAAACTGACGTTTTGACGATACAAAAATGTACCGTACAGTGTGTTTTTCTAGATTTCGTTAATTGAATCGATTTAAAACTTTTAAAACCTTTAAAATTTAAAACTTTTGTTACGTCTTACAACCTGCATTTACCGTAGAAATCGTGTTCGTAAAAAATGTCGAATACAGCACTGCTTTCGTACCAAAAAATGTAACACTTTTCCTAAAAATTTCAAAATGTCACCGCTTTATGCATTTCGTATATTTAATTTAAATCACAAAAAGTATTGACAACAGCAGACAATTCAACGAGTGTTTAAACTTTTAAATTTGAAATATTCAAATTAAATTTGTTTTTAACAGTATTCAACCAAATAACAGCTGATTTGCCATGTCATATGGCAACTATAAAGCAGCATTTCATTTATTAATCGTTTATCAAAAATAAACAAAAATCGATAAATAATTATCGCTCCCCTGTCATCGCTAAAGCGCACATGTGTTTATTTTCATGTTATTTGTGATTGGAAGTTAAACAAAACGCTCCTTTGTAGCCAGCAAAAAATAAATTAATTAAACAAAAATGTTACGAAGACAAGCCCGTTTAAGAAGAGAATATCTTTTCGAAAAGGCCAAGGAGACACGGAGGCATAAATCCGAAGAGAAGAAACAAAAGTTGATCAACAGTTTGACGAACAACAAGACCATACATCCTAGTCTCCAGAAGGAGGCCATTACCATACAGGAAAAACTAAAATATAGTTTGGGTAAGAAAAATTTTGAATAGAAATTTTAACTACGATACTGAAATGTGTTCCTTTGACTTTTTCCAGATCAAGAAAATCCCAATGTCGACGATGAATATCGTTATGCGGGCAGTGAGGATCCCAAAATTATGATCACAACTTCCCATGAACCATCCGCAAGGCTAAAAATGTTTGTCAAAGAATTGCGTCTGATCTTCCCCAATGCTCAGCGCATGAACAGAGGTAAATACGAACTGAAGCAACTGATACATGCCTGCCGTGCCAATGATGTTACCGATTTCATAATTGTCCACGAACATCGTGGTGTACCCGACAGTTTGGTCATATGCCATTTACCCTATGGACCGACGGCCTTCTTTAATATATCCGGTGTGGTAATGCGTCACGATATACCCGACATTGGACCGATGAGTGAACAAAAGCCTCATTTAATTTTTCATAATTTCAAAACCGATTTGGGTAAACGTACAATGACCATATTGAAACATTTATTCCCCGTCCCCAAAGAGGATTCGAAGCGTGTTATTACCTTCGCCAATCATGATGATTATATTGCTTTCCGTCATCATACCTATCAATATGTTAACAAAGAACTGGAAATGAAAGAGGTGGGGCCGAGATTCCAATTGAAATTATATCAAATTAAGTTGGGTACACTCGATGAAATACAGACAGCCAATACCGAATGGGTACTGCGGCCGTACATGAATACATCAATGAAGAGAAGGTTTTTGTCCGATGATGATGGTTGGTGTCAAGATGAGGCGGAAGTATAAAGAAACTGTAGATAGTTATTTTTCTAATTATATACAGATATCTACATACATTTTTTGGAATAAAATGAAATGTTGATAGTTTTTAATTAAGAAAATCAATCTCTTATGACTTCTAAGGGCCCCGACTTGTGTCATAAATGGGGATAAGAAAAACACGAGGAACCTATAAACGATTCTAAATTAGGTTCCTCAAAAGAGTATTTTTTCAAGGCTACCCTAAGGCGTGGATTTTTAAACGAATATATTTTAAGGCCATCCTAAGGCGTGGACTTTGAAAAGAATATTTTTTCAAGGCCATCCTAAGGCGTTGACTTTGAAAAGAATATTTTTTCAAGGCCAGCCTAAGGCGAGGATTTTTAATAGAAAATATTTTTCCAACGCTACCCTATGGCGTGGAATTTTAAAAGTAATATTTTTTCAAAGCTACCCTAAGGAGTGGGCTTTGAAAATGATATTTTTCAATGCTACCCTAAGGCGTGAATTTTTAAAAGAATATTTTTTCAACGCTACACTAAGGCGTGGATTTTTAAAAGAATATTTTTTTAATGCCATCTTAAGACTAATATGTCTTCAGGCCCGTATTTCAGGCCTATATTTTTTAAGCATGGTTTTTTAAAAGAATACTTTTTTCCATGCTACCCTAAGGTCTTTATTTTTTCAAGCATGGTTTTTTAAAAGAATATTTTTTCCATGCTACCCTAAGGTCTTTACTATTTCAAGCTTGGATTTTTAAAAAATATTTCTTTAAGGAATGGATATTTAAAAGAATACATATTTTTTTAATTAATATTTTTTTAAATAATATTTTTTTAATAATATTTTTTAAAGATTTTTTTTTTTTTTGAATAATATTTTTTTCTCATGTATTTTTAAAGAAAATATTTTTAAAACAATTAAATCAAATTAGAACCAATACGGTTAAAAAAATCATATACAAAATCCCCAAAATACCAAATAATGGATGTTACTATGATATGAGGGCTTCCCGAAAACATGGTCCAATGTTGATTATTTTTGGTAGTCAGATTTTCTATTTCTTTTTTTATATTTAACAGATAACAAGCATCAAAAATTAAATTTTTACCATATATTATTTTTTATTTAATTTTCCGTAAGTGTCAAATATATTTCATATTTGCAAATAATGACCATTAAAGATTGCTATTTTAATAGTCTAAAGTAATAATAGTCCCCTTAAAATACCCTTTTATTTAAATTATATCAAATTTTATGTAAATTATTCCCCAATTAAATATATTCACGTTCTGTCATCAATTCACTTTGCATAGCAATCTCCCAAAACTTGTTTTGTCAACCTGCTGCTGCAAAAAAACGATATGTGAATCACCCTGTTTATTTGTTCTCTTTAATACAATAAAGCTCAAAATATTTGTCATCTCGAATTTAATTTTTTGTTTTTCCTTATTATAGTTGTAGAATCTATTTGTTTCCAATTAATTTTACATACGTTATGCTATCAATTCCCTTTGCATAGCAATCCCTTTCCCATTATAATAAGAAGCAGCATTTGTGTTGTTAACCTGCTACAATATGAATCACCCTGTTGCTTTGCTCTCATTTAGTATGCATTCCACCTCATTCGTAAACAATTCATTCGTTTCCCATTTAGTCTCCATCCCACCTCATTCGTAATTTTTCGGTTATACCCCATTGACTTCTTCTTTATCGGCCATTTTGTCTTCTCATCACATTCCGTAACGCCGTCAAAATTTCAAGAAACGGCATGTAATTAAAAGTAACGATAGTACGTCAATCGATAACACCATATATCATAATAATACCATAGTGGATTAGTCACAAAATTTTTGCCCATATAAAAATGTAAATTATTTACAATAAAATCATAATAAACAATAACAAAAATTATTGAAAAGTGAAATTGAAAGACATTACTATTTGAATTAAGTGGAAAATAGTGAATTAGCTAAGGTTTTCCACACGAAAAAGTGAAAACAAAAATTTTCTAGGTGGGGCTGCTGCGTGCTGTTGATCTAATTACTGGGGCCAGACGATAGATAGAGGTTTTTTCTTTTGCCACCAGCTGCCACCATGGCAAGACCAATCTATCCAAATCAGCAAAAAATTGCTGAAAAATTAATTATCCTGAACGATCGTGGTTTGGGCATCTTGACTCGAGTCTATAACATCAAGAAGGCTTGTGGTGACACGAAATCAAAACCCGGGTTCTTATCGGAAAAATCCTTGGAATCTTCAATCAAATTTATTGTCAAGAGATTCCCCAACATTGATGTTAAGGGTTTGAATGCGATTGTGAATATTAAGGCGGAGATCATTAAATCGTTGTCGTTGTATTATCACACCTTTGTGGATTTATTGGATTTCAAGGACAATGTGTGTGAGCTACTGACCACCATGGATGCTTGCCAGATACATTTGGATATAACGTTGAATTTTGAATTGACCAAAAACTATTTGGATTTGGTGGTGACCTATGTCTCGCTGATGATATTGCTCTCACGTGTGGAAGATCGTAAGGCAGTGTTGGGTCTGTATAATGCCGCCTTTGAGCTGCAAAATAATGCCTCAGATGCCGGATTTCCCCGGCTGGGCCAAATGATCTTGGACTATGAGGTGCCGTTGAAGAAGTTATCCGAGGAATTTATACCACATCAACGTCTGCTGACAAATGCCTTGCGCTCCTTGACAACGATTTATCCATTGCGGAATTTGCCAGCCGATAAATGGCGTGAAATGCAAAAACTTAGCTTGGTGGGTAATCCAGCGATTTTGCTTAAGGCGGTACGCACCGACACCATGTCATGTGAATATCTATCCCTTGAGGCAATGGATAGATGGATTATTTTTGGTTTAATGTTAAATCATCCAATGTTGGGTCAATATCCGGAGGTGAATAAAATTTGGTTATCCGCTTTGGAATCGAGTTGGGTTGTTGCCCTGTTCCGTGATGAGGTTTTGCAGATCCATCAGTATATTCAAACATTCTTTGATGGTATTAAGGGTTACAACAAACGTATAAGTGAGGTCAAGGAGGCCTATTCAAATGCGGTACAGAAAGCCGCTCTCATGCATCGAGAGAGAAGGAAGTTTTTGCGTACCGCCCTCAAGGAGTTGGCATTGATTATGACCGATCAACCGGGTTTGCTGGGACCCAAGGCCATTTTCATATTTATTGGTTTATGTTTGGCCCGCGATGAAATCTTGTGGCTTCTGAGGCATAATGATAATCCGCCGCTGCTAAAGAATAAGGGTAAGGCAATATTTTTGAATCTTTCTTTGAATATTAAAAATTTTTCTTTTAGGCAAAAGCAATGAGGACCTTGTGGATCGCCAGTTACCCGAGTTGCTCTTCCACATGGAAGAGTTACGTGCTTTGGTACGCAAATATAGCCAAGTCATGCAACGCTACTATGTCCAATACTTGTCTGGCTTCGATTCCACCGACTTGAATATACGCATGCAAAGTCTACAGATGTGTCCCGAAGATGAAAGTGTTATCTTCTCTTCGCTCTACAATACCGCCTCGAATTTGACCGTTAAGCAAGTAGAAGATAATGAACTATTCGACTTTAGGGCCTTCCGTTTGGATTGGTTCCGTTTGCAAACATACATGAGTGTGGGCAAGGCAGTTTTACGCATTCAAGAGCATGTCGAATTGGCTCGCCTGTTGGACTCAATGGTATTCCACACCCGAGTCGTCGACAATTTAGATGAAATCCTAGTGGAAACATCCGATTTAAGTATATTTTGTTTCTATAGTAAAATGTTTGATGATCAATTCCATATGTGTTTGGAATTTCCGGCACAAAATCGTTATATCATTGCCTTCCCCTTGATTTGTAGTCATTTTCAAAATTGCACCCATGAAATGTGTCCCGAGGAAAGGCATCACATACGTGAGCGTTCGCTGAGTGTGGTGAATATTTTCCTTGAAGAAATGGCCAAAGAGGCGAAAAATATTATCACCACAATATGTGATGAGCAATGTACCATGGCGGATGCTTTGCTGCCCAAACATTGTGCCAAAATTTTATCAGTACAATCGGCACGTAAAAAGAAAGATAAGTCGAAGAAACAATTTGATGATATACGCAAACCAGGCGATGAATCATATCGTAAGACCCGAGAAGATTTAACCACCATGGATAAATTGCATATGGCCCTTACGGAACTGTGTTTTGCCATTAACTATTGTCCCACAGTGAATGTGTGGGAATTTGCCTTTGCCCCACGCGAATATTTGTGTCAAAATTTGGAACATCGTTTCTCCAGGGATTTAGTGGGTATGGTTATGTTCAATGCGGAGACAATGGAAATTGCTAAACCCTCCGAACTATTGGCATCGGTTAGGGCATACATGAATGTTTTGCAAACGGTTGAGAATTATGTGCATATCGATATGACCAGAGTGTTTAATAATTGTCTGCTGCAGCAGACCCAGGCCTTGGATTCGCATGGTGAGAAGACAATTGCGGCGTTGTATAATACGTGGTGAGTAGGAGGAAAAAAAAACTAAAGATTTTAAAACATTTTCTAATTTTGTTTAATTTTCTTCCAGGTACAGCGAAGTCCTTTTGCGTCGCGTTTCGGCCGGCAACATTGTGTTTAGCAACAATCAAAAGGCCTTTGTACCCATTTCCCCAGAGGGTTGGGTCCCATTCAACCCTCAAGAATTCTCCGATTTAAATGAATTACGTGCTTTGGCCGAATTGGTGGGCCCTTATGGCATAAAATCTCTCAACGAAACCCTTATGTGGCACATTGCCAACCAGGTACAAGAACTAAAATCTCTGGTCGGTGTTAACAAAGAGGTCTTGATAACCCTGCGCACCAGTTTCGATAAACCCGAAGTAATGAAGGAGCAATTTAAACGTCTACAAGATGTGGATCGTGTTCTGCAGCGCATGACCATAATTGGCGTGATTTTATGTTTCCGCAATTTGGTCCATGAGGCTTTAGTGGATGTATTGGAGAAACGTATACCCTTCCTTTTGAGTTCCGTTAAAGATTTCCAAGAACATTTACCGGGTGGAGATCAAATTCGGGTGGCCTCTGAAATGGCCTCCGCTGCAGGTTTAATGTGTAAAGTAGATCCCACATTGGCGGCCACTTTAAAATCTAAAAAACCTGAATTTGATGAGGGTGAACATTTAACGGCCTGCCTGCTAATGGTATTCGTGGCCGTATCCATTCCCAAGCTAGCACGTAATGATAGTTCATTTTATCGTGCCTCTATTGATGGTCATTCCAATAATACCCACTGTATGTCAGTGGCCATAAATAATATTTTTGGAGCTTTGTTTACAATTTGTGGTCAAAATGACATTGAAGATCGTATGAAAGAATTTTTAGCCTTGGCCTCTTCATCGCTATTGCGTTTGGGTCAGGAGTCGGATCGCGATGCAACACGTAATCGTGAATCCATTTACTTGCTACTCGATGAAATTGTCAAGCAATCACCATTTTTAACAATGGATCTATTGGAATCATGTTTCCCATATGTTTTGATACGTAATGCCTATCATGCTGTCTACAAGCAGGAACAAATATTGGGACTTTAAAGAGTAACAATTACAACATTATTAGAGGTAAAAATTTATGGTGTAGTTTGTAAGAGATTTTTTTATACATATATCATGAGAAAAAAAACTCACAAATGGAATCCCAAGGAACCTCCTTGGGTGGGTGGAAAGAAGAGGCTAAGAACGTTTTTTTAAGTCATAAATGACATCGGGAAATGGCCAGAATTTTGAAAAGTAGAAAAAGGCAATAACTCTTTGCCTTTATTTAAATTTTAAAACCAGGACCTATAACGACAATTTGTGGGTTTAGGAACCTCTATATATTTTTCAAGAACAGGTAAATTTAAAATATTAAGGCACCTTATTTTAAGGCCAAGAAAAATAAAAAAGGCCATGGCCATAATTAATTTTACAATAGGTAGGCGTCCCACACAGAAAGTGGTGGTGGAAATATCAAGAGGCTGGAATTATCTGTCCCGTATTAAAATTATAAAACCGGAATCTATAAAGAAAATTTCGTGACTTAGGGATCTCCTCCTTTTTCCCCACAAGAAAACTTAAATTAAAATATAAAGTGGCCGCCAAAAAAATCAAATTTTTTTCTTGGTTTCGAAAATCAAAAGGAATGGAACACATTACTCGAACACCTCCACCCCTACCATCATGCAAACCCTTAGCAAACAAACTTAGTTCTTAGTCAAAATTAAGTAACCAAATCGATTAAAAAAACAATAATTGTTTAAAATTTTTTTATAAGGTATTTTTTTTTCTTCTTCGTAGTATAAGCTCTCTCTGTCTTACGCTCTTTTTTTCTATTTAAAAGAAACATTATGCATTATTATATACACAGTTTATAGGTATATATAAATAAAGTATTAAAATAATTATTGTAATATTTAAGAATAATAAAAAAAATAAAATCTAAAAAAAATAAAACTATAAAACCCAATCAAACCAAAATCCATGTGAGGTGAGAGAAGATGAAACAAAATTCGAAATATGTAAGCACATAAGAGAATATTTTTCTTTACAATTAAATAAAAATAAATAAAATTTTTTCTATGGCCAAAATTAAAACATAAAAAACCAATTATAATTAATAAATAGAAAAAAATAATTAAAATAAAAAGTAATTAAAATAAAAACAAATGAAAAAAATTAACACTTTAGAGCTAGCAATGGCAAACAACACATGGGGGAACATAAAATGCGTTTTGAGAGAAAAAATATTTTTTTTTTAGGGATGAAGAGGGGATTCGATTAAAAATTCTTTTTTTAACTAACTACTACTAGTGACTTTATGCGACTTGTTAACTTTTTTATAAAATAATTCATATTGCTTGTTTTTTGATTTTTTCCATTAAAAAACATAAATAATTTTTATAGGTCGGCAGTTTTTTTTTGTTTTTGTTGCTGTTTAGGTCTTGTTGAAATATGATTGATAAACAATACCCAAGGAAGAGCTGGCAAATAATGTGAAATAACTCCACCATGCGGCAAAGCCGAGAATACCCTTGTAGACTTCTGTGGTGAAGACCTGTGAAAAAAAAAACGATTTGAATATTTTGTAAATATCTGTCAGGATCTTGGAAATATATTTCAAAATAGTTTTTTAGGATTATTCAGACTTTACGAATGATTTTGAGGCATGGCTGAAGAAATTATTCAATACTCACATTTTTCAAACTCATCAATGAGGTGTGCAGATTTTGTGCTGATGTCATGATATTAAATTCATTGTTGGCAGTTTCGGTTTCCGTCAAAAGGCTGGTGCCCAGACCACTACCTTCCAAAAAGTCTTGACTACTAATAACTGATGTTACAGTTGCTGCTGGTGGTTCCAATTCTGCAGAACATTCATGCTGTAGTACCGCCGTTTCACTAAACAAACCCGTCCAACTAAATCCACCCAAACTTTTGTACATCAGTGTTAGATATAAACATAAAATAATGGGCGCGGCAAATTGTAGTGTCACCACACACAAATAATAGAATATGGAAGAAATCTGAAATAATTTGTTTTTAAATAATTAAATATTGGAATCAAATATTTTAGGTTAATCTATTATACCTTCTTTTGATATTCCACATTTGTAATACGACCAGCTTCCTTTCTTAAATCCATAATTTTATCATAGGCCAAATTTAAATAGGATTGCAGATAAATTGGCATTAAAGCGATTCTTAAGACAACGGCAAGGACAACCAAGATAAGACGTAAGGTTTCAAAAACATGAGGCTTCATTCTGTGAAAAGAAATTAAAAAGAAAATTAAAAATAAAATAGAAAATTGAAAAATCCAAAATTTCGATTATTAAAATAAAAAATTAAAAATTTGAAGAAATTGTAGAATATTAAAAAAATTGCCATCAATTAAAAAATAATATAAAATAAAAAATATTTAAATTTAAAATAAAAGTTTGATACACAAAATATGACATAAAATAATAATAGAAAATTAAAAATGTTATTTTTTTGTAAACTCACAATGGCGCATCCATTCCCTGGAACACTCGCACCGTCAAATAATCCCGACTAACCGGCCGTATCCACAAGATCACCAAAATGAATGGCAATACAAAACTAATATTCAGCAAGATTTTCTTAACTTTACTCTCTTCACAATATTTCAAGGAATCCCAATGCATTTTGGCCATACGCAAACCGGGGAAAGTGAACAGTGAACCCAAGATGGCGCAGCAGGCGGCCATTACTAATTTGACAATGAGCTTGGAGGCTGGACCACTGAAAGAAATAAGAAGAGAAACATATTAATTTAATATACAAAAAAGCTTATATTATATATATACTAATAAAAGAGTAAAGTGATTGACTTAACGATTCATCAACGCCCAGGCGAAACGCCTGAAGCTAGAATCTTGAAATTTTGGGTGAGGGTCACTCTTGGTCCAAAGGTGATACCATTTGAATTTGGCGAACCGGTAGAGCTAGAACTCCTAAATTTTAAATGAGCGTCACTGATGGACTAGGATTGGGATATGTACGTAGTTATGGAATTTTTTTTCTTACGTTTGCGAAAAGTACTAAATCGTACTATAATTGGTACAATTTGGATTTGGGTGAACCGATAGAGCTGGAACATTGAAATTTGAAGTCAGGATCACTGTTGGGGTGTAGGATTGGGGTCAGGATTCAGTTTAACAAATGGGTACTAAATTTGGTACAATTTAAAATTTTAGGGGACCGATGGAGCTGTAATCCTGAAATTTGAAGTTAGGATCACTGTTGGGGTGTGAGATTGAGATATGTAGGGAGTTTACAATTTAAATTGTGGGTGAAGCGATAGAGTGGAATTCTGAAATTTTGATTTAGAATCACTGTGGAGGTGTAGGATTGGGTATGTAGGAATTTTTTGAAATTGGTACTTCTGTGTACTAAATATGGTACAATTTGAATTGTGATTGAACCGATAGAGTTGGAATCCTGAAACTTGGATTAAGATCACTGTGGGTGTGAAGGTTTGGGGTAAGTAGGAGGTTTTGGAAATTGGTACTATTGTGTACTAAATTTGGTACAATTTAAATTGTGGGTCAACCATACCAGAAATATGAATTTGAAATCATTGTGAGGGTGTAAGATTGGGGTATGCAGGAAGTTTTGTTGGATGGTTAAGGTGGGTACTCTTTGAAATTTAATGTATGATCGATATTAATATATGGATAGCTTATTGCTTAGATTGGATATCAAATTTCTCCACTAAAAATGGATGTGATTTTTTATATTTCACAAGCTTGAATTTTTTTTAGAAAACATTTCGAGGTCACTTGACGCATATTTTTTAATAGACAAATAGAACCACCAGACGGACATTTCATTTTTATATTCCCGTTGTGAAGAACTGAGAACACTTCTAACTCGGATTTCTCACGAAATTTATAATCGAATTAAAATTTCATTTTGAAGTAAAATAATTACAATTTTGGAAATATCCCATTGGCTAAATAGAATACACTTTTTTATCAAAAAATAAATTTGAAAAAAAGTTAAACATACCTTGATTGTATACCCTGATCATTTAAAAATTTCGAAGCACTGCTATTAAAACTGGCATATGCATCCTCCAATCCAGTTTCCAATATACTTTCATCAATGATGAGAACAATCATGGCTATTAGAAGATAAACCAAGCAGGCCACAATGACCATAGAACGTTCACCAATAGAGTCTTCACTTTGGAAATACAGCACCGTCAGAGAAGATAACAATTTACTAAAAGAAAAAAAACAAAACAAAAAATAAGTTATAACAATAACGTCATTCATTGATAACAAAATAAATCACGTATATAATTGTCAATAAACATATCTCAATAGCAAGGTATGTATAATGATAATAATAAAATACGTATATCTGATTTGTGTCATTACTTACACAGCAAAGAAAACCACCAACAAACACCAGACCATGCTAAGATTAACCTCATTTTTCAAAGGAATAAAATAGTGATAGACCTAGAATGCACAAATAGCAATCAATATTTTTTGAAATCAATTAGCATTGGAGTGAGGAATTAGCGTAAACTTACCTCTGATATAATATAAACAATTGCAGCATAGATACTAAAATCCAATAGCCATTGATATTCCGTATAATACCGCAAGTGCACCACATCTCTGGCCGTTACCGGTGATGTTTCCAAATCAATTTCTATGCTACGCGGTATATGAAATTGTCCCTCTTTGGGATTGTGGTGGGTTGTACCATTTTGATAGTGTTTGCCCTTACCGCCTTTTTGCGGCTTTTCCTTGGGCACCCCAGCCTTGGTTCTCAGCTCATCATCGGTGGGATGTAAATAACGATAAAGACCGGTTGAACACAATATCCATTTGGCAAACGACAGGTGTGCATTGAATTTTTGTATTATACTGACCACAACCAGTGTTATAACCAGTTGAGCTCCCAATATTGCCTAAAAGAAAAATATAAAATTTAATAAAAAGTATTCAATTATTTATTTTTTTCAAAATATTCTTTCCCATGGCCGTTAAAGGCTAACGTAACCAAATTTGGGTCAAAGCAATTCTATTTTTGGTTAATATTCATATTTAAGAGGCACACACATTTTTATTTATATGTACCCTGTAGGAAATGTCTACAGTAAATCAGTATTGACTTACTATTGGCATTGTCACCAATACTGTTGACCGACTATACCCAACACAATGCATTTTACTATTGACATTTAACATGTGCTTGTCATTGGAAATGAACTAGTGACTTGGTCAGTAGTAAGTCAGTAGTTTTTAGATATAGACACAGCGTCGCATATGTGGACACGGTCAGTAGTAAGTCAATAGTTTGTATATATAGACTAAAGGTCACATATGTCACTTGTAAATTTTTTATAATTTCTTTTGCTCAAAAATTTGTTCACCAATTAATTCATTAATTTAATTATTACCATTAATAACTTTAAACTCGCGTTTTTAACAAAATATCTGTCTATTGCCGCCAACTTTTTTTTCTTTAATTATAAATATATTAAAGAAAAAAGAAGAAGCATAACCATGCTCAGTTGGTTGTTAACATAACAAATGCTTCTTCTTATTACATGATATGTAGACAAGTTGTAGAAAATATGGAGACATGTCGCCACAATAGTAGACAAAGGCGATACAACACCCCACATTTCCTTCAGGGTATGTACACTTGTCTACTCTCCAAAACATATGCAGCAGGCAGTTTTTTAAGGAAAAATGCTGTTCGGGTTCTTACCATGCTAATTGACGGTGGTGGTGGTTTCTTTTCACGTTCGTATTGTTTTATTAAATGCTTTATTGTTGTATGTGCTAATGTCGCCTACCCACAAATGGAGTCTTCTTTAATACATGACTTTTGGTTTAATTACTGAAGAAATCTTTAATTAAAAACGGAAATAGTTTTAAACTAAACCAAAACGATGAGCTGCAAGAACAGTTTCTTCTCTGTTCTACCTCCCCAACTGAATGACAGACAAATCAGCTGTGCTTGCTAGTGCTACAAAAATAGAATTGACAAGAGGTGATGTCAACTATATCAGAGTGAAAAAACGCATGGTGCTACATAAAATCGCTTAAATTCAAAGCAGAGTTGAACATTAATTACGAGGGGTGGGAATACAATTCGGGAATACAATAAATATTAAGAAATAGTCCTCATATAACGTTACCTCCCAAATTTCGGAATTTAAGAAAAATCAGCACTATATTATAAGTTTTTTATTTCGTTTTCTCTTGGAAGCTGCGATTGATTTCAGATATTTTGAATATCCACTATAAATCAAATCCGGCTATGCTGTTATATAGAGGTCAGTAGTGCACCGTACGCTATTTGGGAATACTGTCGACTTGGAATTCGGTTGAAGTCTTGTTCGGATCAACTCTTTCGTATTTTTTCACTACCTTAGGTTGGATTAAACGATGTGCTCATCCTTAAAAGTCATGACACGTGCCATCAATTTGTTTGATTGATACGCCTGTTCATCTGGACATTGTATCTTTGAACCTCCCTTTATCTCTAGATCATGAAGATCTCTCCTGACCTGCCTTGTTGAGGGAAGCCTTTCCATATTAGTCTGATGACTTCAAGAGTACGTTCCCTCACCCTTGGATCTTTATGGGTCGTACGACGAAGCTCATCACGTTTGACGAGTACGATGATAGGAAGGTGGTCGGAGGCGAGTGAAATGAAAATTTACGTCATTTATCAGACTCTGGTAATGTCTGGCGAATCTCCTATTATCCTCTTGGGGCATCTTCATTAACCGTGCAAAATGTTGAGCTATCAATTTGTTAAGCCAGTGCTAGGACAGAATGCCACAACACATGGTTGACATTGAACCCTAGTACCAGGCGGTTATTACCTCTCAAAAGCGGACTGATATTCGGTATATAAACATTTAGCATTTATACCTCGGCAATTTCACACTTGACTGCTACCCACCATATATTCAATATATGGGTCACTAGAGTCTAACTCAATCGATATGGGACTGCATTGGACAAAATGGTGTAACAACAATACAATACAAGAACGATGCATTTTCCAGGCGCGGATCAGCAATATGTGGTGTTAAGTGATGCGTGTTTTGCTGCTGAGCATGCTAGGTGTCTCGTATTCCTGAGACACCTAGCTACTGAAGCTCGGTAGTCCCTTTCGCAGTACTCTGAAGCAGGAATTCTAGGATATAATGTCCCTATCATGTCAAAAATAAAGCATAAGTATATGTATTTGTTGGTGTGGCATTCGGTACATTGAAAATCTGCCGTGGGATTTACATTCATCGACTCGATGGGAAAGTAGTCAGTACCATTATCCACTTCATACATTTTTTTTTAACTTGGGCACATACCACAGCTATTTCGGGATAATATCAGGGGCAGGAACAAGGTTCTCTAGTCGCTAGCCAGCGGGGCTTGAGGAGTTGACAAAGAAAACTTGTTAACGACATACACAGCAATAGGCCGGTCTGTGGAAAACTATGTGGCGCCAGTGTGGTCCCCTAAGGTTAGTGCAACACAATGGAAAAGTCTTCAATCCTGCCTAAGGACTACAACAGACCACTTACATGAGGAGAAGTGCGTGATCGCCCGCCTACAATACGGTGATCGCCCGCCTACGATTGCAGCAGCTACCTCGACAAACCAGAGTGGTATTGGCACAATTAAGATCTGGATGGTGTAGCGGCCTCAATTCATATTGGACACGAATAGACGGCGCTGTCAATAATATCTACCCGGCATATGGTAATGATTCACATGATACCCTACACCTTTTCAACAGCGCAGCCAAACCCACTCATCTATCCCATCTTCATTTTGAACACAACCTATACAGATCACAGCCTTCTAGAACTTGAAGTTAGAAGCAGTACCAGATTAAGCTAATACAAGAACAACAACAGGAATCTCGAATTTCCACTGCCCGAAATGGAGATTTCGTCAAGGTTTTGGGCTTTCCACTATTCAGATCCATGATTAAAAGTACGTTTAGATTTACGATCTGAAATGTGAATTCCATAACGTATAAGCCAACTGATGTATGGAAAGGATTTACATGACGTTTACGGCATGAAATTTACATTATAATTCTTCTTTCTGCTTACCTCGCACATTTTTTGTAGAAGTTTATCTTTTCATATATGTCATCAATAATAGAACCCGACCAAAGTCAATTAATAAGGTCATCCAGGAAGACCTGCTGGATATCTCTTGTTTATCAAGTTTTCTTTAAAAATCAATTATTTTGAATTAACCTTCATTATCAAAACGTATAGAAAGTCAAAATTTTTGAATTAGACTTGAAAAAAAACAGCTGACTTTCGCTTGACCTTATTAATATATCTTGGTATATGTCAAATAAAATCCACTGGATGTATAAAAAGGATTTACATGATTTATAGGTAAGACTACTTTAACTTTGTACTGATTTCGTTAACCCATTGGTTTAAATTGTCAATTCATTTAAGTATATGGAAAATAAGTCCTCATAAAGTAGGTTAACACGGTAAAAAGTTCTAATGTAAATGCCGTTATATAGAGATCCTGTATTTTATAGTCTAAATACGCATATTAAGCATTGGAAGATTTTTTTCCAATAAGAATTATATAATAAGAATTTCACACACATATATCCCCCTTTTCCGCACCGCTGACGTTTTTTAGTTCGTACGTTTAATTTGTTATTTACGAAACACATGGTGTACAGGCCACTTAACATTGTTTCTCCTCCATTTGTAGACATTTGCCCGCACTGCTGTCAGTTATTAAGAAATTTGTCACGTTGCTTGTTTGACGGAAAGTTTATTTTCAGCTCCGGCATTTCAATACAAGGTAGAATTTTTTGCAAACTAATAAAAATTTGAAATACTGAATAAAAAATAACAAAACAAACAAATATAAATAATACACAAAAATTATTTTAAAGGTAACAAACAACAAAGAGCGACATAAACAACAATGGTGGCAAATAAAAGTGCCAGTGTTTCACCTGAACGGTTGACTCGAGAAGATGTGTGTCGGGTACCAGAGACCATTTCATTTCCTGGCGAGGAGGAGAACATCCTAAATGAATGGAAGGCCAATAAGACATTTGAGAAGTGTATGCAACTGTCGAAAGGAAAACCCAAGTAAGTGGTGACGATGGTGGTGGTAATTTCAAAATATTGAAAATATTGCATCATTTACGCAGTATAGGCTGCAATGTCTTTCGATTTGAATTTTTGCACAGTGCGTATGTGTGTGCAGCCATTGTATATAGGCGTTTAGACGTGTATGTGACTCAACAAGTATGATAATGGTATTCTTGTTTTTTTCTTCCTCTTCTTTAGATATACTTTCTATGATGGCCCACCATTTGCCACGGGTCTTCCTCATTATGGTCATATTTTGGCCGGTACCATTAAAGACATTGTCACCCGCTATGCGTATCAGCAGGGTTACCACGTGGATCGCCGTTTCGGCTGGGATTGTCACGGTTTGCCGGTAGAATTTGAAATTGACAAAACCCTAAACATCAAAGGCCCTGAGGATGTAGCCAAAATGGGTATTGCCGCGTACAATGCTGAATGCCGGAAAATTGTAATGCGCTACGCCAATGAATGGGAGAGTATTGTAACACGTATGGGTCGTTGGATTGATTTTAAAAATGATTATAAGACTTTGTATCCATGGTATATGGAATCCATATGGTGGGTGTTTAAGCAACTATATGATAAGGGTTTGGTCTATCAAGGTGTTAAAGTAATGCCTTATTCAACCGCGTGTACAACTGCGCTGTCGAATTTTGAATCCGGTCAAAATTATAAAGAAGTTGTTGATCCCTGTGTTGTGGTTGCCCTGGAGGCTATTGGTAATGAAAATACCTATTTCTTGGTATGGACGACCACACCCTGGACATTGCCATCGAATTTTGCATGCTGTGTCAATCCGAATATGATTTATGTTAAGGTGAGTGGAGAGAGAGAGAATTTTTTTATTTTCAAATTTGTATTTTTTTTGTGGTGGAAAAAATAATTGAATTTAGAGGTGGGGAACCTTTGCTCGTGTTAGTTTATTTTTTATATGCAGATTTTAGAATGTTTCATCAGAATGCAAAATGCTAATTGTCTGTAATATTAGCATAAACTAACTAGGTGGTCGGTCACATGGACACATGTTTCAGAAAATTCGATTTTTTGTAGAGGAAGAGGGGAGTTTTGGAATGGAATAGCAATTCTATAATTTATTTCCCCTTTCTAAAAATAAACTATTTGTTTCCCCTTGATCGAAATATAAATGTGTAGCCCCAAAGAGAGTTTTGCTAAATGTTCCATATGTTGGGCACTGACATTTAAATTTGGAGATTAAATCTGATTCGAAACATGCCAACTTTAGGGACCGGTCCTGGGTTCATTTTAAATGTATGCCAAATATATTCCGGATTACAACGATATAATTTGTTTGCTTGCGAAAATCCATGCTACCTATGATATGAACCTCCAAAGTTCTGCTGAGACCCCTGTATATCCCAAAGATTTGCTCTATAGGTATCGGAACAAATGTTTTTTACGGATACAATAGATCCAAGGTGACACCATATTTCTCCTTATCCGAACTCAGAGTCAATTTGCGTACATTCAATTCACTGAGAATGAAATCTTGAAGGCTCTTAATGGCTTCCAAGCATTTGGGATCTTTGTGAATGACAAAGATTTCGGAAACGGGGTATTTGACGGGCTGGGTACGGATATCACGCATAACACGACCCAGTTCGATAACCGCCTTTAAGGCCAACTGATTTTTCAATGTCGGAGCGAATGAATTTGCGATTGGAGGTGGGCATCATTTGGAAATGTACTGAATCGGTGTTTTCACTGGAACCCTTGGGTTGGTACAGAACGGTTCTACTCACGGAGAACCACCAGAAAGCTGCCCCCAGAACCATAGCAGAGAATAATTTCGATAAAATTGCTCGCTATGTACCTGCTGAACGAATACCCCAATAAAACCAAACTTCTGACTGTATTGGCCAATATCAAAATTATTCGCTGCTGGCGAACTTCGCCGTACGACACATAAGGGTCCATGAATGGAGCAAGTATGCAAGCATAAATTGTAGATAACGTTTAAGTTACTATAGAGAAAGAAGGGAGACAGGACGTCTGTTACATTTAATGGCGTAACTGTCACAAACTCCAAAAAGTGGGTGTGTTATTTTATTCCGTTGTTTTATTGAACATCACGAAGGTGAGAGGACGATGATAATCGTGCAATGTCGTATAAGAGCTCTCCCTGCAGACGTGATAACTCCACAATTTATGAAAGAAGATGATTAAGACGTGATCAAGAAAGCTAAATTATCCAATTCTTTGGACCAGGGCAGAATTTCTATTGTAATGCTTAAACGTCCAATTTCGTCTGTTTATGAATTATCCCGACTATGAAACGTCCGGCGTTACTCCTTTCTAAGAGAGTTTTTTCAGAATCCCAACATGTATTTCGTTCTCTGGCGTAATTTATGTGTTAGGCCGGTTCTTAGCCCCTGAGAAAAGAAAACATAGACGTAACGTTAAAAAAATCGGATAGACCATCTATATATTTATCATGGGCAATTCGATTATTATAAAGGTCCAAAACCCATATTGAAAATTCATTCTATTTTGCTTTTTCTTTTCTTCCAGGTAACCGATGTCAAAACAGGTCGTTTCTATATCTTAGCTGAATGCCGTCTCAGTTATGTGTATAAAAACGAATCGGAATATCAAATTGTTGAAAAGTTTGCTGGTAAAACTTTGGGTGGTGCCCACTATAAACCACTGTTCCCCTATTTTGCAAAGCGTGGCGAAGAAGTTCGGGCATTCCGTGTTTTGGTTGATGATTATGTTACCGAAGATTCTGGTACTGGTATTGTACATAATGCCCCCTATTTTGGTGAAGACGATTACCGTGTTTGCTTGGCTGCCGGACTCATTACAAAGTCGAGTGCTGTCATTTGCCCACTAGATGATTCGGGACGTTTCACTGAAGAAGTTACCGATTTCAAGGGTCTCTATGTTAAGGAAGCTGATAAACAAATTATTGCATTTTTGAAAAATAGCGGCAAATTGGTATCATCAGGCCAAGTGAAACATAGTTATCCATTCTGTTGGCGTTCGGATACCCCGTTGATTTATAAGGCAGTGCCATCGTGGTTTGTGCGTGTGGAACATATGTCTAAGAATCTTTTGGCTGCCAGTTCTCAAACCTATTGGGTACCCGATTTCATTAAGGAGAAACGTTTTGGTAATTGGTTGAAGGAGGCACGTGATTGGGCCATTAGTCGTAATCGTTATTGGGGTACCCCCATACCAATTTGGAGAAATAACGAAGAAATGATCTGTGTGGGTAGCATCAAGGAATTGGAACAATTGTCGGGACAACGTATAACGGATTTACATCGTGAATCTGTCGATGCCATTGAAATACCCTCTGCCATTCCCGGCAATCCACCATTGAGACGTATCACCCCGGTATTTGATTGTTGGTTTGAATCGGGTAGTATGCCCTTCGCCCAACAGCATTTCCCCTTTGAAAATGAAAAAGATTTCATGTCGAATTTCCCGGCCGATTTCATTGCCGAGGGTATTGATCAGACGCGCGGTTGGTTCTACACTTTGTTGGTCATTTCGACGGCCTTGTTCAATAAGGCACCGTTTAAGAATTTAATTGCCAATGGTTTGGTCTTGGCTGCCGATGGTCAAAAGATGTCGAAGAGGAAGAAGAACTACCCCGATCCATTGGAGGTGGTGACCAAATATGGTGCTGATGCTTTGCGTTTGTATCTCATCAATTCACCTGTGGTGCGGGCCGAAAGTTTACGTTTCAAGGAGGAGGGTGTACGCGACATTATCAAGGATGTATTTTTGCCATGGTATAATGCCTATCGGTTCCTGTTGCAAAATATCGCCCGTTTCGAAAAAGAGGATTTGCAAAATAAGGGTCTGTACACCTATGATAAGGAACGTCATTTGAAAAATATCGACAAGGCTTCGGTTATTGATATTTGGATATTGTCGTTCAAGGAGTCGCTGTTGGAATTCTTTGCCACCGAAATGAAGGGTTATCGTTTGTATACTGTGGTGCCCAGGTTGACCAAGTTTATTGATCAATTGACTAATTGGTAAGCTACATGTTTAAAATTCGAAGAAATATGATTTCCTTATCCTCCCTTTCTTTTTCAGGTACGTTCGTTTGAATCGCCGCCGCATCAAGGGTGAAATGGGCAAAGATGAATGCATCCAATCACTGGATACTTTGTATGATGTCCTCTTCACCATGAGCAAAATGATGGCACCATTTACCCCCTACCTGGCCGAGTACATCTTCAAACGTTTAGTGCTGTTCCAACCCAAGGGTGCCAGTGAAAACATCGATTCTGTACATTTCCAAATGATGCCCACCTCTAATCGCAAATTCATTCGTTCCGACATTGAAAAATCAGTCGGCCTTATGCAGGCCGTCGTGGAGCTGGGTCGTGTTATGCGTGATCGCCGCACACTGCCCGTCAAATACCCTGTCTCCGAAATCATTGTCATTCACAAAGATCCCAAATGCTTGGAAGCCATTAAGAGCCTTCAAGATTTCATTCTTAGTGAATTGAATGTACGCAAATTGACCCTGAGTTCGGATAAGGAGAAATATGGTGTCACCTTGCGTGCCGAACCCGATCACAAGACATTGGGTCAACGTTTGAAGGGCAACTTCAAATCGGTTATGGCTGCCATCAAAGCCCTTAAGGATGAAGAAATTCAAAAATATCTTAGCCAAGGTTATTTCGAAATCGAAAATCAGCGTGTCGAATTGGATGAGGTACGTGTCATCTATTGTATCTCCGGCCAGGTGGGTGCCAATTTCGAGGCCCACAGTGATAATGAAGTATTAGTCCTGCTGGATGTTACACCCAACGAGGAGCTCTTGGAAGAAGGTCTGGCCCGTGAAGTTATCAATCGTGTACAAAAGCTCAAGAAGAAAGCCCAATTGATACCCACTGATCCCGTCTTGATTTACTACGAATTGAATGCCCCCGCTGCCAAGAAGGCGGACGCCGAACAAATCCAAAAGGTTATGAATAAATACAATGGCATGATTAAGACCACCATTAAGTCCGAATTTGTTAAATACAATGCCGATGAGGCGGGTAAAAAACGTCTCATCATTTCCGAATCTGTTGATCTCAAGGGTATTGATCTAAAACTCACCATTTGCTCAACCGAAGAGGTTCAACTACCCCAATTGAAATGGCTTAACTTAGTACTGGCCGCAGACATGCAACCACGTTTTGGCAGATCCAATAAGGCATCACTGCTACTTGAGGATTCGGTTAGCAAAAAATTCATTACCTTCGAACAGCTGAGGCAGGAAATTGATGTTCTCTTTGGCACCTACGGTATAAACTATAATATCTATTTGGTGGATAAACAAAAGGCAATTGAGGTGACAAGTGTGGACGCCTCCTTGCATGGTAAACTTTTAATAATTGCCAAGTCCGCGGAGGAGGCAGTGAAATTGCCTCAAGATGCAGCAGCCACAATGCCCTATTGTAAATTTGTAAATAAATCGGGAACCACGGTATTCACAGAAAATCCTTTGGGTTTTACATTGGCTGCCTAAGGTGAAAACCCCCCTCCCCCAGGAGAAGATGAAGAAGAAGACTAACAGTAATTGTGTTTGCCCACCCCGCCCCATATATATTTGACATATTAGTGAGAGTGGCTTGTGTTATTTATTTATCCCCCCGTCATCTAAACAACATCCTTTCCTTAAACTTCCTTACTTAATTTTGAAAAGTTACAAAAAACAAAACAAATGCCGAAAATGAATTACAAAAACAAATCTTAAAGATTTTTTCAAAAGAAAAAAGTTAATTTTTATAATAAATAAAAATTTGAAATAAAAGTTTCTCTTTAATTGGCCTTTTGTCTATAATTGGATTTTAATTGGCTTGTGGTAAATAGATACATAGATGCCTTTATAATTATACAGGAATTAATAAGGAGGGCGAATAAGAATGAGGTGTTTCTCACCCCCATCCTTTGGGCATAATTCTTTATCATTCATAGCTTATTTGGACTATATAAAGATACAAACATTTTCATTTATGTGTCTCCGATGGTTTTAATTCTAAGAAAAGTACTGAGATTTGGAATAGAGGTACATCACAGGTTTACTATATATTAATATATGATTTTGGAAAGCTGTCATAAAAAGGCTTTCCAAATTATTCTGGGAAGCTACGTTACAAAGTGTCTTGAATTGAATCTAGTTGTTTATATTTTTAATTTAATTATTATATTTTTAATGGTATAATTTATTTGGTTTATATATTAAAGTATTTACATTTTAATCTTAATTTATTATTATTTATAAAGGTGCATGGTGAAGGGTCAATTATGGTAAATGTATTTTTTAAATAATAAACATTTTGTGAATAAAAATTTTAACCCATAAACAAAGATTATTTAGATTTTTATTGACTCTTAGTGCCATACCAATGTGGGAACCTGAATCCTTCATTAGGCGTGTATTCCCGGCATCTCTTTGACTTGGGCGAGTTATAGAACGCATAAATCGAATTTTCGTGTTGAAAATTCGAAGAAAACAAAAGTCGGCTAGGGGATCGACTAAATTTGTTTTTACAAACTGTAAAAAAACTCTTTGGAAGGAGTTATGAAGGGTTAATATTAAGTTATTTTATGAAGCCATGCTACTTCTCCAGCAAATTTTACAACAACACCACATGTATATCTTTCGGTTTTCACACATCCGCCAAAATTTGCATAATTAATTGTTCCTGATATTTAAAGGAAAACTCTTTTAACTCGGGTAATATCTTTTTCGGGTGGTTTTTCTATTGGTTTTGAAAGGAATCCAATGCTCTAACCTATGTCGGGCTTGTTCCCAACATAAGGTACATAATGGTAGGAAGCATTATGTATCTTCTCAGTATGAGAATTGACAACTCTTCATATTGCCTTTCTCCGATTAAGGTTCGATGAATCAGTAAACTTAAAACTTTCCAGAATTCTTTTTGCGTATACTTCCTGACTGATTGATACTCCACTTTCACTTGCCATTATTTCCAGACCCGAATTCTCTTCTCAATTCTTTCAAAAACAATTCCAGCTCGTGGGGTCTGTAGCAGCTACACTAGACCATTATATACCACAAGAGTTGGTATTAATTTCTTCCCTTCTTTTTTCAAATGTAGATACAGGGATCGGCTTCACTTGATATAAATTCGATTTATAAGAAATATTTCCCAAAATTGAAAAACTCTCCCTGTGCCGCCATCAAAGCTATCTGGTTGCTTCATAAAGATAGTTTCTTCAATATGACCAAAAAGAAAATCACTAGATACATCAAATTGAGATGCATCTATCACTTGCAGATATACATACACCTAAGTCTGTTTTTACACGGTCTTTTTGTACACGGTTTGAAAATAGAATATTTTTCATTTTTTTAGACGATTTTATTCCATTTAGCACGATTTGAAATTTTATGTACTTAAATTTTTTGTCAAATTTAATTTTTGCGAAGTATGTCCATATCACAAAAAATGGTATGTTCCCGTACTGCAAGAATCTACTATATTCTACTATTTTCTTCGATATCATAAAAGAAAATTTGTTATCGTATTAAAAAATAGTAGATTCTTGCAGTACGGGAACAGACCAAAAGTATTTATGAAAGAAAAAAGCCTGAAACCATCGATAGTATCGATAGTTTTCGAACACTAGCTTAAAGATTTAAGTGAATTCCCCTTTAGCGCGTACAAGCAATTTTTACTGGTCAAAGCAAATGTGAATAGCACTAATTTAGGTGAATTCCGTTTCAGACTCGACGAACCGGTATTTATTGTGTATGTTTACTTCGGTATGAATGTATGTTGTAACACACAAAGTTTGAACAAATGCGGCAAGTTCGTACACGAACATGTTTTACACAATGAGTGTGTCGAATTATACAGTAGTATTCGAATTACCCGAATTAATTGACGAGATATTTTGGTTTTTACACCATCCACAAAAGTATGAAGGGTATGTTATGTTATGTTTTTTTGTAACTCATCGAAATAGTCATTTCCGCCCATATAAAGTATATATATTCTTAATAAGGACAAAATTTATGAATATCTAGTAATGTATCCACTATATAGCAGAACTTTTCTTTTTTCAATATTTAGATGTTTTTAAACGCACTTTTTTTAAATTCGTTTTAATTTGGGTTCGAATTGGATACCCCATAGTGTGGGGGATATTCAGTACTACAACTTGTCAGTTCATAACCTATAATATGTTAAGACTTCTGTTGTAATATTACTACCTTCGGGGGTGTCGAGATACAAAACTAAACCGTTACGTTCCAAAATGGCCTTTATCAGTCCACATTAAGTATATCCTCCCGAGAAGTAATCAATATTGGCCCCCTTATATATAACCAACGCAATGAACGACGATGACTGTTGTGTGTTTTTAATGTGTGTGCGAACGCTCGTTTGCATAAACCTTCTTTGCAAAGTGTTGGAAATGTTCATACTGCCAGTAACTAACAAAATATTTAAAACATTTTCGCTGGCTTAATTTGAAAAGGACACAAGTCCATTTATCTAGAAATTGAGATTTTGATACAGTTATGTATAAAAAGCCAAAATACATCGATCTAAAAAAATTAAAATATATTTATCTCTTTTGTTATTGTTGTTTTGTATTGATGAGTAAAGGCGCTAAGTCCAATTCATCACATGTCACTGACTTAACATCACGTAAAGGCTTTAAGTCCACATTTCATATTTAGGATTTTGGACATGATTTTCAGCCGAATTGTCTGTAGTTTGGTATTTTAGGTACTTATGGGTAGCACACCTTCCAACAAAAAATATCAATATTGGTCTACTTTTTAGGGTACCGCCCAATATTCGAAATTTTGGTAGGTTTGGGTACGTTTTTCAAACGACTGTAATTTTATATTTAGGACTCTAAATTATCAATATTGGTCCAAGTTTTGGAGTTCCCCCATATTACCTTACCCCATTTTTCGGTATTTTGGATACGTTTTTCAACCGAGTAGGTTCTAATTTGTTATTTTGGGTTCTCATTGTGTGTCCAATCCTTTTTTTACAAAAAATTATCGTTATCTGTCCGCGATTTGGTATAGACCCAACAAAACTGTACACTAAATTTTTGACAATTTGAGGATTTCGGTATGTACAAGGTCCTAGTCCAAATTTCCAATAGTCTCTATTTTTGATATTTCTCTTGGTAGTTATTTACCAGGGCATAAAACCCATATAAAAATACCGATCAATTTAAAAATTTGACTGTTCACCTCGCGGCGGTGAGTATAAAAAGGTCGGCCCTGTCGAACTTAAGGACGTTTTAATTATTTTTATTCATATTTTTTAATAAACAATCTCTACTCTACTTAATAATATTATCATGTAAAAAATCAACAAAAGTACAAATTTATTACAGAAATTAAGAAATGTAATGAGAGACAATTTGTAAGAAAATGACCTACGTCCACAAAAACATAAAGAACAAATGAAAAGTCTTTAAGTCCCAAAAAAGTGCATATGTATTTCCGCAAATACTTATTTGTACTCCTCATATAACTTTGTACTCTAATTTTCTGCATAGGCCTATTTTTGTATATCCCTTGAGGAAGATTCCGCCGATTTTTCTTACATCATTTAATTTAACTTTTACTTATTTTTCTGGAGTTTTTATTTACTTGTATTCAATAGAAAAAAATAAAAGACATTATTTCTCACTATTGCTCACTAATAAAGTTTTAAAGAGTGTACAAGGTAAACATTTGCATGTACCTGTACAATAAATGCCCACCATCAATGTTAAGTCGTTGAATGAATACATAGAATACAAAATACATTGCATGATGTTCACTCATTGGACTCATTGATGTTGTATAACTTGTTCTTGTAGTCCATCATACTGAATGTTGTGCTTTCAAGTTTGATCGTTTGATCGGACAAAGCACAACGAAGAACAACACAACTTCGGTGGTTGAATTCATTTGCACTCATTAAATGTTGTTGTGTACTCTGAATACGACTTAACATCCATGAATGTGGATGTGGATTCATTGTACGAGTACATTCATGCAGATGTCTATTTCAGGGCTTTCGTTGAAAAGTGGTCCAAACACAACAGTTTCCTCGGTCCTGCGAAATGTTATGTTTACATTTTCTTGCAAAACGTTACACTGTTTCAATCTAGAACCAAGTAAATCTGGCGATACAGTTTTGATTACACATTTGCGTATTTAATACATAGCCTTTTTTGAAATGATATGTACACGTTGTGTGAGCCAAGTAACTGGTTCGAGGAATGGAAATGCAGAAGAACCACATGGATATTTTTTCCAAGATCTTAGTCTGCCGTAACAGGACGAACAACAAACCTGTGGTATATACCATTAAGGAAGACTAAAATATTCTTCGTAAAGTTACATTACTCAACTTTACGAAGAATATTTTAGTTTATCTATACATTTTTAGTTATCTATACATTTTTAATAAGACTTTATATCAATTCACATATCAATTCACTGTTTGCACAAAAATCACTCCGAAGTTTATTGTTAACTTACAGAAATTATACTGTGCAAATTTCGATACCTACTGAAATTTGGGTATTGTTGCAGTCTTCAGATATTTAAACCATTAACCGTTACCTCTTAAACCCATACACAACTAAGTTCATTCAAAGTGTTGATATAAATTCTTTCATAACCAATTAAATATCCCTTGACTGCCATTGATTCCATATTTTTCCTCTTCTGAAATCAGTTAAGTCTTTCCAGTACTACAACTAGCACACCGTCGAGTCTTCCATAGGCAGTACTGCTACTAGTGTTCATACTAGCAGCAAATGTAGTTGTTCTCCAGTTCTGCTGCTAGCACTCCGGCTAGTTTTACCCCATGCAAAACTCTTACCTGTTTAAATGCTGGTAGTCCGGCTAGTTATCCTTATAGTTGCTTCAGTACTACGACTAGCATTCCGTTTATTTCTCCATCCAGTAGAATTCAAACTAGTGTTCCAACTAGCACTTCTTCTAGTTCTGCAATTCTGACATCAAATGCTCATAAAACATACTATCATGTTTTTATTTATTCTGACATTATATGCCACAAGGTAAAGGTGTATTTTCTCTTTATTGACAACAGATACCCTACCCTGTATAATTGTACGAAGGTTCCATTATTCTTCACGGAATGACTCCATTAAGGGAAAACACATATGAGGTTTCAGGACTGGCCTATTAAGTTGGCTTTGTATGAAATGTCAATTTATATAGGAATATCAGAGTCAAACTTGATGTTGGACGCCATTTTCCTTTATTCTTTTATAATAAACATAGCCAACTTACTCCTGATTCACTCCAGTTGATGAGCGAATTGCTATAATCCGTATAAAAGCGAAGTTCTTCTACTTCAGTCTTATTTGTGTCCATGCCCCGACAGAAAACAAAGATGAGCAGACCAAAGACATATTTGACGAGCGCTGTCCTGGCCATGACATTCTTCTAGGAGATTTTAGAGCAAAAAACGGAAGGGAAAATATTTTTGGTCCCACCTTCGGAAAAATTCAACCTCCATGAAGAAACATCCGACAACGGCATGAGGTTGATTGATTTCGCGGGAGCAAAAAACATGGTAGTTAGCACCAACGAGAAATCAAATTCGCACCCTTTCCTCCATTTCTCCTAAATGAACAAACACGGATTAGGCTCCATTATTCTTTAAAGAAATCCATCCTTATGTATAATGTTCTTTAAAAAATTGCTCCAGAACAAATATTATTTAAAACGGCCCAAACCTTGTCTTCACAATAATACTTAACAAATCATTCCCTGCGATATGGCAACATTTAACATCGTGTCACAATCATATGTTGTCACACATACACACACTCTCCCATATTTATTTACTTCAATTACATTTCCTGTTTCCCCACTTTATCCGCAACTGGTCAATGTTCTAAAAAGGATTTTTTGACATTTTCTGATTAATTGTTTATTTGTTTGGCAGGAGAGAGTCTAACGGTGTCGTTACATTGTTTGTTTATGTTAACACCATTGTTGTTGTTGTTTATTAAGGGTTGACAAGAAGAAGAAGAAGAAGCAGCAGCAGTAGTTGCGGCGGCACATGAGGTAGTATCAGCGAAAAAAACTTGATGAGTTTATTAAACTTTCACGGAAAACTGCCCCTCGTGGACGACAAGGCAGACAACAAAAGCCGGAGAATACGAATACCTCCTTGTTTTCCACTCAAAACAATGGAAAAGCGCATGCGAAAAACTTGATGGAGAAAATAAGGGTAAAATGAAATAAAAAGAAAAAATAACAAAAACAACAACAAGAAGAGACTAAATTAAATCTCTGTGTGTGTCTGTCAGCTTTTTTGGTTGGTTCGACGGTAACTTCGCTACGAAGTTTGATGAAAAATTTTGTTACACATCATAACGAGAAGTACGGATTAAAGAACAACACGCATTGATTTGTCGGTCGGGTCGCTGTGGCTATATAGAAGAAGAAAGATAGAAAAAATGGAAAATTTTTGAGAAAATATAATCAAGAAATAGTGAAACTAGTTTAGAGAAAATTTATTTTAGTTGTAGATAAATGGAAATATTTTTATAAAAAAATCGGTAAATGAGAGAGTTATAAAAAATTAGAATATAAAAATTTAAAAAGGGGCGAGTTAGTGTCTAGTGAAAAAATTGCCTTTCCCATAATACCCTAAAAGAAGAAGAAGAAAAAGAATCAGCATAAAGAAAAGTTTTTTCTTTTGACAAAAAAAGAAGTTTCCTAAAATTTCCAAATGTGAAAAATAGAATTTCGTTTTTCTAATCAAATTTAGTGAAAATTTCAAATCCATTCATAAAAGAAATAAAAAAGGAAACGTGAAAAAATCTATTATAAATTTTCGAGACACACACATACATAAATACTGCATATATTTCAAATGGAGGAAAATGGAAAAATGGCTGGCTGACTGGTTGGTTGACTGCGTAGTATCAAAAAAAATTATCGCAACAAAGGAAGTCTCGAAGATGCAGAGAACACTGGGAGCAGAGCAGAAAGGGCCCAACAATGCCACTTTTTAGAGCAAGAGGTTAATACAAACAAAGAAAGAAAGGAAGGAAGCAGAAGTTCGTTGCCATAATATAAGTAACGGTAAACAACAAAGTGGTAGAACCGAAACGAACCGAACAAAAAACCCAGCACAAAAAAATATTCAAAATAACCTTACACTTTAACAACAACAACGAAACAAAAAAACAACAACAAAATCTAGCAAATACACAAAGCTAACTGTCACAGGAGTGTGTTCCGAATAGAGAGAGAGAGAAAGAAAAAGAGAGAGGGAGAGAACCCATTTCGCGATATATCCTCAAGAGTCGAGTCATAATCGTAACGGTAATAAAGCGGTGTTATTGAGTAAAACACTCAAAAAGGGGATTTATGCTCTCGCAGTCAAATTCTCTCACATACTCTTTTATATTCTCTCTTTTAATCTATCCCACTCTCTTGTGCTCAAAACAAATATTTACACGTTGTTGATATTTTTTAGCATACGAATAATAAAACGAAAACAACCAATTACGAATAAGAATATCAAAACAAAACGGATAATTGATCGGCTAAGCAAAGAGGAGAAACAAACCCCCAAAAACAACAACAAAAATCCACGAAGCACCAAATAGGCCCCCTATGCATAAGGATCTATGCACACACCCTGTGTTGTTGCTGGCAAATAAAAATTAATAATCCAACAGTTGGTCCAACCTACATATAGCTCCAGTAAACCTGGCACCGGTATTGCCTTCTTCAAATAGCCTAGCAGCAGGTGGTGGTGGTTGTGGTACAGCCACTTCGGCTGCTGCTGCTGCCGTTCGTCTGGAGAGTGCTTTAAATGTCAACAACATTAACGCATTTAACGCTAGTTTGGCTGTTAACAGTGGCGCCCAATTGTTGTCGGCCGTCCACTACGATTCTTCAGCCTCCACCCTAACCAAATTATCCACCTCGCCGCATTTAATGTCACCCACTCATCATAGCTCGGCAAGTTTGACAGGCACTGCTGGTGGTGGTGCTTCGACAGTGGTCGGCAACATGGTCTACGGGAATTCCACCACAATGAATAACATGGCCTCAGTGGGTGGCGCATCAGTCATTTGTAGCAGTGATAGTGGTATTTCATCGATAATCTCCTCGACACCCTCTCTAACGCAGCTCTCCCCACCACCGGCCGTTGTTTCAAATGCCGTCTCCTTGGCCATCTTGGCCTCCAGTGTCATAACCACATCCAGCGGCAGTGGCAGCACCGGTGTTGCCACCTCGATCACCAACAACAATGGCAGCAGTAATAGCTGTACTCCCGGTAGCGGTAGTGGCAGTGGTGGACGTTGCAGTCCCATCATTGGCGGTATAACAGCAAACCTTACCAATGGCCTGGCATCATCCTCCTGCATTTATGGCTCCGCGCCACCATCCTCAACAGCCGCCTCCTCCTCTGGCAGTCCTCTTCTCTTCACGGAACGTACCTCGCCAGCCCTAAGCATGCTGAGCAGCAGTAAAACCAAAACTCTTAGCCCCTTGCAGAATTCTTCCATTAGTTCCATGTCACCATATGGCTCCGTTACGGGTGTAACCTCCTCATCCTCCTCTGCGGTAATACCCACTTCCAGTCAAACGCAAAGCTGTACCGGCTCGAACTATTTGAACACCATCAAAATGCTGGGACCCGCTGCCTCAATCGATTTGGGCTCCTCGCCACTGACACATCGGAATTATCCTACCATTAAAGGTTTTACGTTTCGTAGAAGCTTTGATGATAAAATAATTGCCGTATCGACGTCTGCGGCCGTTGGGCCCGTCAGTAGTCAGTCACAAACGTCGCTGGGTGGTGCGGCTGTGTCAGCCTCCCCCTATTTACCCTCCCATTTCCCGGCCACCGCCTCACACCATCATCACTATCATCATCATTTGCAACAGCAATCGCCGCAGATACCCCATTTCGCCCATTACCATCCCCAACATCCTTCGCACTTGCATCACCACTCGGCACTGCACCATCCTCCCTCCTCCGGCCATTTGGCCGCTGTACATCATTCGCATCATCACCATCCGAATCACAATCATCCCGTGGCGCCGCCAACGTCACATCATCAGCAGCTGGGAGGTGTAAGTGGTGGCGGCGGCGTCAGCAGCGGTGGCAGCAGCAGTAGTGGCGGCGGTGGTGGTGGTCCATTCCATCACAGCCAATTCATGTCATCTGCCGTTAAACATTCCGTCGCCTCTGCCAACGTTGCCGCCTCATTTTTGCCTCCGCCCCTGTATGCACCGCTGACATCGTCACAGTCGACCACCAAATTATCGCATCGCGACGATTTCTTGCAACAAATTGGCTATTTGCCAACCACACGGATTTATAGCACTCCATCCAGTCTGGTGGATGAGGATAAGGCACAGCAGGATTTTTTGTCGTTATCCTTGTCGCCGCCATTAAATCGACGTCGTGATATGCCAGCATTGCGTGGACCATATGTTAGTTTGTAAGTATATGTGCAATTGCAATTTCTTCTTCTTACTCTTCTTCTTTTTCGTGATATATTTTCTTCATCTTTTTATGGTTATTATTGTTGGTGCTGTTGTTTTTTATTTCCATTTTTACTTTCATCATATTAGACATTCTTTATCATTTCCGTTTCCTTATTGTTGAACGGATGCCAAAATGAATATTTGTTTGTTTTTTTTTTTGCTACAACAAGAAGAAGAACTACTGAAAATACTCTTCAATCCGGAATGCACTCCCTACAGCTTTAACGTACCAAGGCTGTTATATGTGTAGGAGGATATAAGGATACAATTTTAGAATCAGCATAATCCTGTTGATGACAAGAGTATGCTGACGAGGCACAGTGGTTCAGAATCATTCGTTTATATCAATTTTGTTCTATTTTGGAGTTGGAAATGCCCTTTAACGTGATCCCAGTGGCAAAGAGGACATTTGGTGTGGAAGCTCTAATTTCACCATTCTATGCGACACTGATATACGTGGTATAAGAGAGAGTGGGAGAGAAGGGGAGAAGTATCGCTTTAACTATTGACAGGTGCCATCGATTTGGGCTGATCAGGTTCGTTTGGAGTTTTATTCTTCTTATGTGTACTCTACTTGCCACCTATTCCGCAAGCCTCTGTGGTCAGTCTGCTGCCTTTGGTTCTAAAGCCTTCTTATTACCGACCACACAATCATACCTGGCGACCTAGATTTCCTGCTCTGAGGAAAGTCCTTTTCAGATTGCTCAATTAGACAGTAGAGGACTGACCTTCTTTGTCCAATTTCTCTTTGATATTGGCATTGTAAGGACAGCATTTTTTGATCTCAGCATCTCTCTCAATCCAATATCAGCCTGGATCATCCTTTATTCTGATATTTGTATGACACACCTCTCACTCGGCTAGCTAGTTTTTATGATAATTTGCCTAGCCAATAAGCGCCAAATAAGCATGGTTTGCTTCAATAGTTATCACCAGCGTTTCTCCTCGACCGTCTCCAATTCGGATGAAAGTTTGTGCACGTGTTTTTCTAGGTTTTAGTAAAATGACTTCCACAATCTATCAAAGTAACATTGGCATATTCTGCTGCCTGTATTATTACGCCATGTAACGTTTTCTTCGCACTATACCCTCTCTAAATTTAAATTGACTTAATTCAGAGAAGTCAATTTAAATTTAATATTTGAGACATGGGCTATCTCGTTCATTTAGTTTCATAGTTCAATGTGCAATGGATATTCGTGTAGGTTGATTTGAATATCCAATTCACAATATATAGGTACTCCATTAAGCGCAACCATGAGAAATACACAAAATTTGACAGATGGTCGAATAAAAAACAGATGTTTTTGTTTTGCATGATGGGATTATCTAGATGAACGTTTGGATAAAAAGGAACTAGCACCGATAGTTCCTTTTGCGGAAAATTTACTTTGAACAAGTTTGATTACCCAAATCAAAATCTATTAAGGTCACCAACATGGCCTATAAATAAGGTCACCCAGGGAGACCAGATGATAATCGATACCTCTCAAGTTTGCTGTCAAAATGCATTATTGTGAATTGACTTCCATTATGAAAACGTAAACAAAGTCGAAATTTTTGACATTAGACTTGAGAAAAAACAGTTGTTTTCCGATTTCGATTGCTATCGAATTACAGCATTTTTACTTGTTTTTTCCATGTCACGACTTCGACAACGGTCTCTTCTTCATTTACCTTTTGTTGAAGTTGAACTTTAGCATCTTCCGCTGTCTTCAGGGAAACTTGTAGATTCTAATTGTTTAATAGTAATTCCGTAATAAAACGAACTGTTTCCTCCATATCTTAACATTAATTTCTAATGCTGTTGATGTGTCAAAATCAGATAAAAATAAGTAAAAACGTCGTTAAGTTCCGGGCCGATTTTTTTTATCCTATTTTACGTGGGTGCATTCAAAATTCCTTAAGTGGATGGGGACATATATAGGGACTATGTTATTGTGTTTTTTTATTTACCAAATTATAGACACTTCCGAAAAAAGAGCGGAACATTTGGACCTTTATATTTCTTCCTAAATTTATATCACTTTCGAAAATGGCGCCCAATTGGTCAACATTTTTGAAATCACATAAAAAGCTAATTGAGAATCCAAATTGGCTCAAAAATTGTATATCGTATTTTTTACTACAGATAGAACAACTTTGAAAATGGAATCCATCGGTCCATCCGGTATACAATACCTCTCCCACAAAAAATCCCATATGAAACAAACGGTGTACCCGATTAGAATCAAATAATGCATAAGCAATTATTTTCACTCAATCTTCATCATGTATGAATCTGGGAATATGTTGATCTGTGCATTCTTTTCGATACCTCATTGAGAATTTCAGAAAATATCCCATTTTCATTTCGATGTTGCATCTAACATTTTTATCAAAGGAAATATATGGACAGTAAAATTTGGTCGACTCCGCAGATAAATGTATACTACGTGTACCATAGGCAGAGGGTATATATGTATATGTTAAAAATTTTCAACTTCAACCCAGTAGAAAGTGTCTTGCAGACAACATTAACGAATCGTGGAAGACAATGGCAATTCCTTGAAGACACTTTGCAGACAACAATGTGAGATCCTTGACGAAATGTTCACACAAGTGTCGCAGTATTCATGCAAGACAACTTGGGCGACAAGGTAAGCGAAGTTGTCGTTGACGACAACTTCGGCGACAAAACTCCCTATTTTCGTTGACGACTATCATCGACTATGTCGTTTACACAGTCGTTGACGACTGAATACCCATTTTAATTAATCATACCCCATTAAAAATTCACTTAATCCCTTAGTGACCCTTAATCCGAATTAAGCCATAATCCCCTCAATGACCTTAATCCGGGATCAATGACCTTAATCCCCTCAGTGACCCTTAATCCCCTCAGTGATCCTTAATCCCCTCAGTGACCCTTAATCCCCTTAATGACCCTTAATCCCCCAGTGACCCTTAATCCGGGTTCAATGACTTTTAATCCGGATTAAGCCTTAATCCCTTCAGTGACCCTTAATCCGGGGTCAATGACCTTTAATCCTTAATCCCCTCAGTGACCCTTAATCCCCTCAGTGACCCTTAATCCCCTTAATGACCCTTAATCCCCCAGTGACCCTTAATCCGGGGTCAATGACCCTTAATCCGGATTAAGCCTTAATCCCCTCAGTGACCCTTAATCCGGGGTCAATGACCTTTAATCCGGATTAAGCCTTAATCCCCTCAGTGACCCTTAATCCGGGGTCAATGACCTTTAATCCGGGGTCAGTGACCCATAATCCGGGGTCAATGACCTTTAATCCGGGGTCAGTGACCCTTAATCCGGGGTCAATGACCTTTAATCCGGATTAAGCCTTAATTCCCTCAATTACCTATAATCCGGGTTCAATGACCCTTAATCCGGAGTCAATGACCTTTAATCCGGGGTCAGTGACCCTTAATCCGGGGTCAATGACCTTTAATCCGGATTAAGCCTTAATCCCCTTAATTACCTATAATCCGGGTTCAATGACCCCTAATCCGGGTTCAATGACCCCTAATCCGGATTAAGGGTTAACAAGGGGATTAAGGGTCATTGACCCCAGATTAAAGGTCATTGACCCCGGATTAAGGGTCACTGAGGGGATTAAGGCTTAATCCGGATTAAAGGTCATTGACCCCGGATTAAGGGTCACTGAGGGGATTAAGACTTAATCCGGATTAAGGGTCATTGTCCCCGGACTATGAGTCACTGAGGGGATTAAGGCTTAATCCGGATTAAGGATCATTGACCCCGGATTAAGGATCATTGACCTCGGATTAAGGCCACTGAGGCGATTAAGGGTCATTGACCACGGATTAAAGGTCATTGACCCCGGATTAAGGGTCACTGAGGGGATTAAGGCTTAATCCGGATTAAAGGTCATTGACCCCGGATTAAGGGTCACTGAGGGGATTAAGGCTTAATGCGGATTAAAGGTCGTTGACCCCGGATTAAGAGTCATTGAGGGGATTAAGGGTCATTGACCCCGGATTAAGGGTGACTGAGGGGATTAAGGCTTAATCTGGATTAAGGGTAATTGACTCCGGATTAAGGGTCATTGAGGGGATTAAGGGTCACTGGGGGATTAAGGGTCACTGGGGGATTAAGGGTCACTGGGGGATTAAGGGTCACTGAGGGGATTAAGGGTCACTGAGGGGATTAAGGGTCATTGACCCCGGATTAAGGGTGACTGAGGGGATTAAGGCTTAATCTGGATTAAGGGTAATTGACTCCGGATTAAGGGTCATTGAGGGGATTAAGGGTCACTGGGGGATTAAGGGTCACTGGGGGATTAAGGGTCACTGGGGGATTAAGGGTCACTGAGGGGATTAAGGGTCACTGAGGGGATTAAGGGTCATTGACCCCGGATTAAAGGTCATTGAGGGGGATTAAGGCTTAATCCGGATTAAGGGTTATTGAGGGGATTAAGGGTCACTGAGGGGATTAAGGGTCATTGACCCCGGATAAAGGGTGACTGAGGGGATTAAGGCTTAATCCGGATTAAGGGTAATTGTCCCCGGATTAAGGGTCATTGAGAGGATTAAGGGTCAGTGACCCCGGATTAAAAGTCATTGAGGGGATTAAGGCTTAATCCGGATTAATGGTAATTGACCCCGGATTAAGGGTCACTGAGGGGATTAAGGGTTATTAATCCCGGATTAAAGGTAATTGACTCAGGATTAAGGGTCATTGAGGGGATTAAGGCTTAATCCGGATTAAAGGTCATTGACCCCGGTTTAAAGATCATTGCTCGGTAATAAAGGAGCTTAGTTATAAGTGAGTGACTGTGAGATCATCGCCCAGACGAAACGGCTGAAGCTAGAAGTATGAAATTTTGAGTACTTATGTGTATGATAAGTACTAAATTTGATACTATTTGCATTTATTTGAGAGTAGTCCTGAAAAGAGGAATTAGGATTAGTTTTGGAGTAGAGGACTAAAAGT